TACTAGCCTCCAACCAGCCTCCCACTCCACGTCTGGTGGGAGCCGCTGGCCTCAGCTTGTATCCTCTTACTGGTGAGAGCAGCAGTGGTCGCGGTTCCCCCACTTGGGACGGCCTGCTGGAGCAGTTCGGGTAACAGGCACTCTGGTGGCTCGCTGCAGGTGGCCTCTGAACCCAGCCATCGCCCAGGGTTACACAGAGTGCTCTCTGATTCACAGCAGGTGCACGAAAAAAATAAAATGTCATAATAGTGTTAATATAAACACGGCTTTGTACCTGGGATCCTGAAGCATGTTTAGGACAACAGTAAGAGGAAGATCATGTCCAGTGCTATGTTGAGCGCTACTACTTTTGCAGCTGTTTGTTGGTCCCAAGACCAAATGTTTGAGTGTGTGCCTGTGTGTTTGTGTGTGTGTGTTTGCGTGTGTGCCTGCGTGTCTGTGTGTGTATCTGCGTGTTTGCCTGCGTGTATGTGTTTGCGTGTGTGTTTGTTTGCGTGTGTGCCTTTGTGTGTGTGTGTCTGCATGTTTGCCTGTGTGTCTACACGTGCTTGTGTGTGTGCCTGCGTGTCTGTGTTTGTGTGTGTGCCTTCATGTCTGTCTGTGTTTGCGTGTTTACCTGTGTGTGTGCCTGTGTGTTTGCATGTGTGCCTGCGTGTCTGTGTGTGTGCCTGCATGTGTGTTTAGCAGGTTGGATAGTCCCAGGGTTTTCAGCCACCTTTTAAGTTTATTTATATAAACGTTTGCCAGCAAAGCAACTGATCCAGCACAGTCCAGCTAAATTGTAGAGCTGTGTAGATACTACCCTGAAGTGGTGAAACTTCCCATTATGGGGGGTTGGGGGGGGGGGGTTAGTGCTGTCAGACGGCTTCCTGCTGAAAAGGGCTCCATCGAGGGCATGATGGGTTTGGGGGGAGGGTGGGGTATGGGGGACGTCAGGCTGGGAGTGTAACCTCAGCAGACTGTTAGCATTTTAGTATTGTTACGGGTCTGTCCACCTGCCGCTACAGGTAACAGGATAGTCCTGGTCATTATCCTGGAAGCTGAAGCCCTCTTTTTAGTGTCTGAATTGTTGTGACAAAAAACTCTAGTTAAACCCTACAGTTGTTGCTTCTTGGGTGTCAGTTTCACTCCCCCCCCCAACCCCAAGGAGATACAGAAGTTGTAGATAAGATAATGGTTCTTCAGATAGTTAGTGGTTATTCTATACCAATGGTTGCTAGATGACAATATTTTTTTTCTGTATAGGTTACATTATAATCATAGAGTACTGGTAAATCTGCTTTTGAAAGCATAATTCTTTATTTAGAGTTGTTTTTATTTATTTTTTTGTGGGTTGTTTTTGTCTGATTTACACATTTGACATTTATGGACTCATACTAAGGTTCATTACAAATCGATACTAACATTGTGCCCTGATTTGGATTGTGTTAAATTCAGGGGTTACCGCACTATTTTTATGTGATTTTTTTTTTTGTTCTTATAAACTTCACCTCCTTTCTTCTCTTCTTTGTTTTTTAGGATTTTGGGAGCGATGAGGAACGTCGACAAAACCAGAGGTGAGTTACTCAGTTTAAATGCAGCATAGGAGTATTTCATTCTGGCGAGCAGAGCTGGAGCCTCTTGCTGTCTTTATACACTGCTGTGGCCTTACTTCCCGTCTAGACTCCATATAGTTGGAGCAAAAGTCACGTCTTCGGTTCCTGGTGCTTTAATCTAAGTGTGGTGGAGGGTCACCATATCCTCAGACGGATGACACAGTTTTGCCTGTGGTTATATAAAACATTGTGTAGTATGTCCACAAGAATAAAGGCTTATGTCTGCCCCCTGACTTTCAGCTGTGTGGTTTTTTTCCCTTCAGTTGGCCACCATGCGAGCGGTACTCAGGTTCAGGTTCTGACGTGGAGCCTTTTGAGTGACGTTTTTGTCAGCAGCAAGGAGCTCCGCCATATCAGAGGAACAATTTGCAGAGGAAAGTAATGGAGCCACAGTCCTGCCCTTCAGGAGCTTTGATGGACGGACGTTTCTGGAAGGATCTTAGCAATGTTGTGTCCTGGTTTTTTTTTTTTTTTTTTTTTTTTTTTTAAATTTTAAATCTACTAAAAAGGGACTTTCAATTCAGAGATGAAACCCTTTGGAGAATGATGTCCTAAAAAACTTGTAGGGCACTAATAAATGTGGGTCTCTTTTTTGGCAGATGGATTATACTTAATTTAATGATTTGGGTTAATAGAGGGTTGTTGGTCTATAATATGATGATGTACTGTGAATATGTGCATTTTTATTTATACATGATATAAGAGAAAGTTTAACAAACTGATTATCAGAGTAACCCTTTTGCCCGTGTCCCCATTGTGTACCTTTGGGTTGTGTCAGTCAGAAGTTTGACAGCCGCAGGGCAGTATAATTCTCCATTCTCACTGCAGTGACTGGAAATCAGATTCTCCAAATCATCTCACGTTTATCCAGTTTTTTGAAGGCTCTGTCTTGGCTCTGTAGTATTCTGTAAGATCTTAATATGCTCCTGTTTTTCTCTATCAAAATGGCCTCTCAAGTTGTTAATCTTTTCCCATGTCCCCATTTGAGTACAGTGGACTCAGCACCTAGGACATTATTCTGATCCCATTGGCCCACATCTTTGCGGGAGGAATATGATTGGTCCGGCTGCCTCGCATTAAATTGCCAGTAAGGGTATTCCCCACTGCGCATGACCAACTCTTCATCAAGTATATAATCTGCTCTGCAAGATATCTGTTGACTAATATGAGAGATTTATTTAATTGCGATGTTCTTACACTCTACGTCGTGACTCATATCAGAGTACCTGATGCAGTTTTACTTAGGTGCTTTAGGGCTGTTTGAATTTTGGAAAAGTTGTTGTATGTGTTGCAGTCTTACTGACTCAAAAGTATGGCTGTCACTGTCTAATACAGAAGCTATGGTCACAAGGCAGGGAATAACCAGGTTATGGTGCCATCCCATCAGAGGGTGCTCACTCATTCATATGACCAGTTTAGGCCTCCAGTTCTCTTAAGTTGCATGCTTTTGGACTGTGTGAAAAAAACCATAGGATCTGGCATAAACCCACACACACAGGGTGAGCATGCAAACTACACTGTAAGCGGCAGGGTGCAGTGAAAGCACTACCCACTGCTCCACTGGGCTGCCCTCAACACTAGGCCTGCATGATGTGGATGTTATGCACTTACAGTTGTCACATTGTGAGGACCGTGACAGTCAGCTGGATTAAGACCGTGAAAAAGTTGCACTAAGACAATTTTACTCTGTTTTTTTTTACTTATGTTTAAAATGCTTAAATAAGTCTGAAATTTACCTCCGCTGTATTTGCTGCGGCTGTCTTCTGAGTTGATGTGCTGATGGAGGTCGCGACTGCGCTGATGATCCATATGCTGGAACGTACTGCAGCCTCAATTGATTTCCTTTTGGGCTGAACCACGGCCCCACATCCACATCCAGCTCCCACAGGGAAGGTAATCGTACCCCCCCCCCCCCTCCAATCACGAACCTGTGTTGCTGACCGCATGTTTCTATATATGAGTGAAGATGTAAATTTGGGTCGTTGCTGAGGCGGCCTGTGAAGATCGCTTAAAAATAGTACTGTAATTATATTGAAGGCAAGCATGGTGGCTCCGTGACTGGTGCCTCAAAACTCTAGGTCTGGAGGTTTGAATGCCACCTCAGCTTTGTCTGTGGAGTTTCATGTTCTAGCCTTGTCATGCAGGTTTCCTTTGGATACTCCAGCTTCCACCCACAATCCAAAGCCTAGCAGTTAGACTAATTGGCATCTGTGAATTCCCTACTGGTTGTGTCTGCGTTGTCTGTGTTTATGTTCATTACGATGGACTGGCACCCTCTCCAGGGTGAACCCCAGGCTTCTGCTTCTTGGGATAGGCACTTACTGAACTGAAAGATGGATGGTTTCTTAACTTTTTTAATCGTAGGTTGCACATGGCTGGTGTGATAAGTATGTTCTCTTGGGAATGTGTTTACATGCTACGCATTTCCTGGTATTGAGACTGTATAATTGTAAGAGCTGGTCTGGGAAAAAAAGCATTACATTTCAGGTATGTTACATTTTCTCATCTGTTTGCCATCAGCATAGGGATCTGGACGGAGTTCAAGAGGGTGACGATAGCAAAGAGTTTTCTTGTGGAATGGGCCAACATAAATATTAAAACGACACCTGCCCCGCGGTGAAGCGAATCACGTGGTGATTTCGGCGTGTGCGAGTGAATGATTAGTTTTGATTTTGTTTTCGGATAAACAAGCAGCCCAGGACATATGGAATTGTTTAGTTCCTGGACGCTGCTTGTGGGTCAGATTATCCGTGAATCTGGATTTACATGTTCTGAACCACATTCCCTATTACGTAATGCTTTGGATCGAGTTATACAGTTACTACGAAGGGGCTATATGCTGGCAATGTAATCTTTTGCACTCTGCTGAGAAAACTTCTGTTGTAACTTAAACCCTCACCCAGTCCCGAACCTGAACTGTCTTGATGTGGTGGAGCAAGCAACAAGGTGTGGTTACTGTCAGCTCTGAATGTGAGGCGATCATTCATTCCGCGTCGGTCTGCTCCAGTCCTACCATCAATCTCCTTCAGGTTGAAAACTCATGGATTTTTCCCCTCCCTCTCTCGGCGTGGTCAGCAAGGAGCTATGAGCAACCTGCCGAGTTATACAACATTTGGCTCTAAAAGAGGGCCTTCTTTCCCCTGTTTGCCACTCAGGTTCATTAATAGCCGTCCATCTCCATGCCCGTCTCATTCTCACTTCCCCACATTCCGTATTTTCTCCACCACAGCTAACTCTATGCTTCATTTACACACAGTGCTGATGACCTGTAGTCCATGCTCATGGCTGCTGAGATCAGTACATAGGCTGATCCAAACACATGTGCCACCTGGGAGACTTTGATACCTCCAGGGCAAAAAATGAGATTCAGGGACAGCTTAGGTGTCCTGACTCGTGTCATACCTCGTAGGTGGAGTCTCAGGGAGATTCCCCTTTGCCACAAGGACCGCGCAGTACTGTAGGAGTCAGCCGATACCACCATCATCCGTGCAGCGCCGTGCCATTCTGTGACACGCTGGGGACCAGAAATCCACGCTTCCTCTTCTCCACACTCATGCAAGTCTCTTTGGAGTTGGTGCTCTGCTTTTGGCTCTTGCTGTTATGCTCTGGTTACTTGGAAACCATATTGCAGAGTCAAAACTGTCTGTGGCGCTCCGAGATACACTGGCCGCATTCGAAATCGTTCACACTCCCTGTGATGCTCTTTCAGTGAACCCTGAGCTGGAATGCTTGGTCGAGACCCCCCTTGAACGGGCCCCGTTGAGGCTCAGATGCTTTTCTGCCTACGGACCCCAGCCCCCCCACCTCTCTCTCTCGTGTTGCGACTCCTTCTTTCGACTGCCCCTGTTATCCAGTTCTGTGTCACATGAACTCCAAACAGAGCACTCATTGGATGGCTGCACATGCTTGGTCCTCAGTAGCGTTCCTCTTCCTCAAACCAACAACTAAGTGTTCAGATGCAGAGAGGCCAAATCGCCTGCCCAGCTTCAGATTTGGGGATTCCTCCTACGCTTGGTGGTGGCGTCCTGTGAACCATTCTCCCGGCTGTGCCGTTATCTGGGTTACGTGTGTTGTTTGTGGCCGTGTGAGGCATCTCTAGGGTTTTGTTTTAAACCCCCCCCACCACCACCACCACCAGAGAGTGCTGGGATAGCAACCCGAGGTTTTAAGAGGACAGATAAGGTGCTCTGTTGTCAGGGTAATGAGATTTGGCCTGAGTAGTGCCTAGTCTATCTGCATTGTCCTCCCCTAACACAGCGCCTGGCAAAGAATGCCAGGACATCAGCCGGCCCCGGGGTCAGTGTTTTTTTTCAAAGCCCTCCGCTGAAGACCAGCGCGCTGTTTCCGCTCCTGCTCGCCCCCCGGGTGGGAAGCCAGGGGATGGGGTGCGTTCTTGGCTCTCGTTTTTCTACAAGGCACATGTGGAGCTGCTTTACTCAGAGGAGCGGCAGCCCAAAAAGTGGGACAGACGTCCTGTCGTTTTATTGTACTACAACTTAATGAGGGAGCCGCACCCCCCCCCCCTTCCCAAAGTGCGCACACCCAGAAGAGCAGAAGACGGAATGGGACGGCGACCAGGATAAGCTCATCAACGCAATCTCTGTCATCCTGCATTAACTAGGCTTTAGGAGAGCCTTTGCTCGTCACCTCTGTGTGTGTGTGTGTGTGTGTGTGTGTGTGTGAAAAGAGGAGGAGAAAGGGAGAGAGAGAGGGAGGGAGAGTGAGAGAGCGCAGCAAATGCTCAACCCCCCAGGCTGCCAGCAGAGACACTGTTATCAGTGACTAGCCTGCGGATAACAGTGAAGAGCGAGGCTTTTCTCGTCTCTGGGACAAATGACAGGGTGTCAGACTTGATCCCTGCACCTGAAGCACACCTGAAGCAAGGTTCGGGGACACAGACTCCTCCCCTTCAAGAAGAGGATCCAAGACCCCTGGCTGGACGAATTAACACAGGAAGATGCATCTGGTGGTAGAGCCCTCCCAGAAGAGCATGCTGAAGATGCTGCCCTACTTTATGGAGAACGCAGTGCTGACTCAGAAGGAGATCTGCCGAATGTAAGTTAGTTCGCGGCCGGTTCCGGTGCCGGTGTTGGTAGGGGGGGGGATGCGGCACTGTTCCCGGAACTGAAGGGGCTCTGGTGTCCACCTCCACCTCTGTGTCTTTGCTGACTGTTGGAGGTGTGCGTGATGTTCTTGCAGTCTGAACTATGGTGCCAAAAAGATAACTTATCAAAGAAATACAGAGATCAAGTTTCGAATCTGTAAAAAGCAGAACAAATGCGAAAACTTGGAGCCTCGTTGCTGAGTGTGTACAGACTATTCCTGACCTGACATGTTCAAAGCCTGGCTCTACAGACAACATTATAAAGTGTGTTTATATATAGATTTAGTTTCAGCACCTTTTATTCACTGTTATGTCAAAACATCAGCAAATGCTTCTGTTCTTCCTGGTAGTGAGACAGAGATGGTCGTCATGGCGATTAACTATCTCCAGTGCCCCTTTGAAGTCGGCCGAGTCGCCCTTGATGCCAGATATTATATTTAGACTCGGCTTTCGAGGAGACGTTGATAACGGGCAACTACAAAGGCTGCGGGGCAGTTAATGAGGGTGTCTGTCAGGCTTCCGTGAGCGACGCTGCTAAACCAGGCTTCAGGTGCCCAGATCTTGCCGTCAGATTTGAGAAATTATTTTCAGTGACGTGTGTGTGTGTGTGTGTGTGTGTGTGTGTGTGTGTGTGTGTGTGTGTGTGTGTGTATATATATATATATATATATAAAAAATATGTAAGCTCAGTCCCAGCGATTTCTCAGCTCTGATGGTAGCTCTGCTCTGAGACCCATAGATGAGAGGGACTTGCGGGCCGGAGCAGGCTGGCCGTCACTGCGGCGATCGGACGTCGGTCACGCCTCATGCGTCCAGTCCCCCCGTTTTTGCACAGTGATGCTTCTCAAGTATGCCAGCCCCAATTGAAATTCAGAAATGAAACAGTAGGGGTGGGGGGGGGAGTGTAGGGGACAGTGCAGAACAAAAGCTCCTCTGATGGGATGAGACGTCCTGTCCTGAAGGGGCTTGGTGCGGTCATGGTGGGGAGGGCAGCACAAAGCAGAGACTGTTGTCCCCACACAAGCGCGCACGTGCACACACACACATTCTCAATGAGCGGGAATGACATCTGTCCTGTCACACATGCACAGAAGCACAGGTCCCAATGTGGTCGCTCTGGGGCCTCCCCCTGCTGGCAGACAAGGGTGTCTGCGGCTGAATAGCAGGACTGGGGATAGGAGTCTGTCGCACACACGCACAGAGACAGGCACCCGACGTAACGAACTCAGAAGGAAACACCAGCATATGTACACATTAAAACTACAGATGTTAATGCATTCACAAGCACAGGAACGTCCACACACCGCAAACCCACAAGCTCTGCTCTGATGCTGATCGTTGCGGTGTGGCAGCCCCGGTATGCCCCCCCCCCCCCCGGATCAGTGCCAACTTCCGGCTTGTCATTATCAGGTGGCACTGAGATGTTAGTGTCGTCCTGCGTACAGCAATGGGGGTGGTGGGAGGGATTCGCAGCCAAGACACGGGGGGGAAGAAAGGCTGTAGAAAAAGCATGTCCATTTACTTCCTCCTCCGTTCTGCCCTCGGCGTTCCCATTCACATAATGCCAGGAGAATTATCCGCCTGGGCGGGTTGGACCCAGGAAGCAAACCCCACCGGCTGGAAACGAGGCAGCGAGATGCATAACTGCAGTCAGACAGAGAAAAAGCTGAATGACTTTGCGAAAAGACAAAAAAAAAGGTTGCTGAATTATTCAGGAAGCTTTGGCAGCATGGGCTGGGGCAGGGGGGGGGGGGGCTGACAGGTCGTGGGGAAGCTGCTTTGGTGGGGAGGCGTGTTGTCACAGCACCAGGCCCTCAGCTGGCTTGGATCTCCTGGAAGTCCTTTTTGGGCTGCTTCTGTCAGGGGAGCCACACTTGGTATGGATAATGAGGAGACGCTGTTGTGTTGTTTTGCTGTTCCAGCCTGAGTGAGAGCTTCTTCATGGTGAAGGGGGCCGCCCTCTTCCTGCAGCAGGGGAGCAGCACCCAGGGCCAGAAGGCACACCCCCACCACAAGCATGCAGGTGAGCCTTTCGGGGGGGTGGGCGGGCAGGGGGTCACGCTGCTGGAGGCTCTCTCACTCTGGGAGTTCCCTAAACCACACCCCCACCTCAAAAAACAAAAAAAACAATCAAACCACAAGACGCCGCCGCCTTCAATTTCCCTTCTCCTTCATTTCACTCAGGCCACCCTGAGACTTTTTTCTCCCCACTGGTGGTCAGTTTTTTTTTTTTCTTTTGTTATTGTTTTGTCCTTTTCAGTGCTCATCTCCAGGGCTCCAGAAATGGCCGCCCTTGGAGCCCCATAAGCACGTTCCAGCCGTGTGCAGATTAGGGAGATGAACCGGAAAGCATGTGGCACGGCCACCGTCTTAGGCCAGTGCTGTCACAGCGATCCCTGTGCCTGCGGGGGGGTAGGTGTGCTCCAAGTGTGAGGTCGGCTGCTCGGGGTGAAGACGCCGGTCCTGGGATGCGGGTCTCCAGTATGCGGATCTTCTTTGAAGGGTTGAAGCTCACGCTGCCGATCCACCATACAGACGCCTGAGTGCTCCTGCCGTTTCACATAGACGATCTATGTCACACGGAGAGCACAGCTCATCAAAAAATAAGATCAGGACAGTTAAGGATGCGTCAAGGATAAAAATAAAATGTAAAGAGGAATTAATCATCAAATACAGATCGCTGGTATGAGTATTTCTCTGCATGAAAAAAATAAACGTTTGAGTATGTGAAATGTGAAGTGAATCACAATCTAAGGACACTGTTATTCACAGAATAAAGTTACATCATGGACAGTAATTGGATGACTTATTAGATGACCGGCTTGTGCACTTGTGTGGTGATTTTGGTGATTGGCGCACAACTATGAGGTCTGCGCCATGTCCGTTTCCCTTCTGGCCCAGGCTAAGGGCCTGGCCAACCTGCCACTACTCCAGTGGCCGCAGTCTCTGAATCTCAGTGTGGGTGCACAATGCGATGCTGGACATGCGATGCTGCCAAGGTAATACAGGAAGGAGGGCGGTTCAGTATAAGTACAAGACATTTTGAAATGTTTTTGTAGCCTCCAGCCGTCTTAGCATCCCTGAGGTCCTTCTTTGTTTCAGTCATAGTCGGTTCAGTCAACACGCCAGTTTTCTTTTCCCTGATCTAGCGCATTTCATTCCTCCTCCTCACTGAGGAGCCTCCAAAGAATTTAGGAGTCCGGAGAACCAGGCCAGCGTGTAGGGAGGTGGTTAAGGACATTGACTGGGGCATGGAGCCTGTTGGATTGGCTCCTGCAGGACCTCTGGGCAGACTGCAGATGTGTCCGGAGTGTCACTTGAATAATTCCTTTGTTGTTAATTAATAAAAGTGAGTTTTCTTAGTGTGGGATGATTGCTGGTGGTTCCTTTGGTAGCTCCAGGCCTCTGCTGTTCAGTGGCCTGACCTCAAGTGACCTGCCTGGCTTTCCCATTCACATCTCCCCTTAGCCACTTAGCTAACAATTTTGCCATTAACCTGGTGTCAATTGCGTCAAGCCGCTATTGGACATCTGTTCTACACACTCTGGCGCGGAACACCCCAGGAACCTGCTGCGTACGTCCAAACTCGGCTCCCAGTAGCTTCTGCAAGACTCGTCTCGTGGCAGGCAGCCAGAAGTCTGTCCGACGGCCGCAGGAGGAAGCACACCTCAGACCCGGCTGTAAATCACGCCGCTGCAGACAGAGGTCTGGGAGGCAGCCACAGTGAACCGGACGCAGGCTGAAAAGTGCAGCCCTCCCCTAATTGCCTAGTGCGCTCTGGAATGCGTTCATAGCCACCAACGCGTCAGCCGACTCGGGACACGTCGAGTTAACTAGCCGTCTGGGAGATGTTCGCTGTTTCACAGTTGAAATGGTTGTAATAGACGCTTTGTTTATTTCTTAATACTATTCTCCAACTTGCCCATGCCTGTTTTTTTTGCTTGCCTGTAGAGGCTGAGGTCTGTCTGCTCAAATGTAGGCCCTGGATTTGAAGCAGTGCTAGTCTAAGTAGTTGGTGTTTCCATGCACTAACCCAAAACAAGACATAGTAGACGTAATAGAATCAGTATGAGGCTGTGGAGGGGGGTGGACACGTTATGTCTGGAGTTTGGAGGAAAACCCGTTACAATCGATCGTTTTGCGTCTTGTTTTTTGTCCATCCAGGCGATTTACCTCAGCACCTGCAGGTGATGATCAACATTCTTCGCTCTGAAGACCGTATTAAGCTTGTGAGTATGGACCTCCCCACGTGTACAGCAGTCACACGGCCTGAGGGCTTCACATGTGCTCTAGGTTCTCATTAGCTGATTATGGTCGTTAGCACAGCAGAATGTGCCATGGAAACCATGAGAGTGTTACTGGAACCTGCCATTCAGTCAATGGGACATACTTCTGCTATTTTACAGTCAGTGCTTAAAAAACATGCCTTTTCTTAAAAATTAGATGGACAATGAGCATGAAAGTTACCAAGAGTTTTAGGTCAAAGTTTTGCTGTAGGAGCTCCCAAAGGTGAAATACTGGTCAGTCCCTGGGCTGGACAGCGTGTGAATGTGCGACCCTGTCTGTTCCCTCAGGCGGTACGTTTGGAGAGTGCCTGGTCCGACCGAGTGCGGTACATGGTGGTGGTCTACACCAGCGGTCGCCAGGATACCGAGGAGAACATCTTGCTGGGGATGGACTTCACCAACAAGGACAGGTACGCCACCCAGGCACCAGGCCAGCGCCTTGGCTGCTGTCTTCAGTAATCAGTAAAGTTACATTATTGAGAGTCATTAATTATGCTAACTTTTACGGGCTGTATTTTCCAGTAAGTGCTGCTCCATTGGGATGGTTCTTCCGTTGTGGAGCGACACCAAAATCCATCTTGATGGGGACGGGTGAGTCCAAATTTAATTTGCCACACTTTCTTCTGATACTCAGCTTGTTTTCTGTGAGATTTGCAGTGAAAAGTCTGACCGGTTGCTGTTTTAGCTCCACACATATGAAAATGTGCAATATTTGGTGGTACAGTGGCTCAGAAATAAATGTGACAGTGACATTATTCAGATCTGATATTGAGAGTGTCCAATGTGTGAGTACAGATGCTCTTCTACTTACGAACGAGATACGCTCTGAATGGCCGTTTGTAACTTGAAATGTTCGTAAGTCGTTATTCAACATCATTTTAAGGGTATACGCAAGTACAAAGAACTGGGATGCTGGGAGTACACACGTTATGCTGCTGTGCAGTGGGAGTAGTGGACAGAAGTCGTTTCCTGGTCCCCATAAGGGAAAACTCTATTTTATAGAAATCGGTGACTGTTATGAAAAAACTAAAAATGCAACCACTCTTGTATTTTGTTTGGTTACTTATGGTTATTTTTAGGGCTGGGTAGGGGTTAAGGTTGTCATAGTTAGCGTTAGCATTTGTCCCGTAGAAATGAATGAGCGGGCCCCAAAAAGATATGATTACACGTGTGTGTGTGTGTGTGTGTGTGTGTGTGTGTGTGTGTGCACTCTGTGATGGGGCTGGAATTTTGTGTCAGGTGTACGCAGCTGTACATAATACACTTCCCAGTGGTGCTGATTGGATTAGGGAGAAGCATTTGCGAATAACCTCATGGTCGCTGTCGCATGGTCACTGAACAAATTCATGAAATATTCCATGAGGTGGCTATGGAGTGTGATACAATAAGCTTTATTTTGTTCAGCTGCTCGGATTAACTGGTGCCATGAAATTGAGTTAAAATACCAGTTAATCTATTTTTAAGGTTTATGGTAATATGTCCTAATATTTTCCCCCTTGCACTACAGAGGATTTGAAGTACTTGCATTCACAATTATTGCTTTTCAGAAAGTTCATTTTCCAGGGTGTCATCCAAGGGCAGAGAAATTACTTTTACTCTTTTTGCCCAGGGTGTTGGGGCAGTGCATGTGACTGACAGACCATGAGTGACTGACAGACCATATGTAACTGACAGACCATGAGTGACGGCGCTTTCTGTCTCCACCGCAGGGGTTTCAGTGTGACCACAGCAGGACGGACACACATCTTTAAGCCAGTGTCTGTCCAGGCCATGTGGTAAGTGTGGGATGAAGTTGATATGACAGTTTCGATTTTAAAAATGTGATCTGAAACCCCATATTCCCAGCGAACCAACATAGCTGAATTATTTGGGGAAACGGCAGAAAGGGATGTTTGTGGGATATCTACGCATGATTGCAAGTTGGAATTTTGGGCTGAGCCCAAGCGCCATCTAGTGGTCAAGCAACGCAGGTGCCTCTTTCATGTTTTATGGAGCAAACACGTCATTTTTACACAGCTGGAAATTATGATGTGAGTTCTTTGTGAGATTTGTTTATGGACGACTCCAAAGCTAAGCCTGCTGTATACCCGCTGCTCCAGGTCAGCGCTGCAGATCCTCCACAAGGCGTGCGAGGTATCGCGCAGGTACAACTACTTCCCTGGCGGCATGGCGCTCACCTGGATGAGCTACTACGAGAGCTGCATCTCGTCCGAGCAGAGCTGTATAAACGAGTGGAACGCCATGCAGGACCTGGAGACCACTCGGCCAGACTCGCCTGCCATGTTTGTCGACAAGTGAGAGCCCGCCTTTGCCCCACCCCCCCCGCCCAAGCCCCACTGTGTCTCACCCCCTCTGGGATTCCCTCTGACATTTATGACATTCTTGAGATGCTCAGTTGGTGTTTTTTCTCAATCAGTTTAAATCACTGAGCCTAAAATCTCTGGAATTTGAACCAGCAACCTTTTGGAGCTAAGGTTTTTGGGCTATAATGGCTATAGTACCTGAGTACCTGCTGTACCTGTCACTTAACATGTAACCTGTCACTTACCTGACTGCTAAAATTCTTGATTTGCCTGAAAAAGCAAAAAAAAATCTGAAAATTAAACCCAGGCTGTACCCATAAATTGTCCATATAGATTAATGGTCCATCATGAGACAGAGAAAACACTGAATCATTGTTTTAAAATAACGGTTATCCAAAAACCTACAGTTTCATTTAGCCAATTTGCTAATACTCCCTAAACATATGAATGGAAACATATGACATATGAATGGAATGGTTCCATTTAATAGTATTTTAAGCAGTATTTTGGAAATGAAACAGGATAAGTACTTCAGGACCAGTCTGTTCTGTTGCCCTTTCCGGCAATCCTGTCTGTTTTGTGTGCTTTGTGAATGTTTGGTTACCCCCTCAGTCCTATGACACATGGCCCAGCTAACACACATGGTGTGATGTGCGTTCCTCAGGCCAACGGAACGAGAACGGACCGAGTGCCTTATCAAAGCCAAACTCCGGAGCATCATGATGTTCCAGGACTTGGAGAATGTCACCTCCAAAGAGGTACGTGGTGGCCAGACCCAGAGCAGCTGTCATCTTGCTAGGTCACACTGTCAGGTTTCCTAGTGCAGGTATGACAACTCCCTGAAATAGCACCGCTGGGGACCTGGAGTGCCTTGTTGAAGCTCAGGGATGTTTCAGCTAACAGATTTGTTGGTAGTTAGATGTCTTGCCTCTTGAAAGATGGCCAGTGGGAGCTCAGAATTTTATTGCACAAATTATTCACTCTAAATCTCAGAAATATGCTCATTGCCTTGACAGATCCGGAATGAACTGGAGCAGCACATGAACTGCAACCTGAAAGAGTACAAAGAATTTATTGACAATGAGATGCTCTTCATCCTTGGGCAAATGGACAAGGCCACACTCATTTTCGACCACCTCTACCTGGTGAGACTCCTAGGAACCTCTGAGATGCTGCATTTTGCTCCATCCTCCAAAATCTTTGTATTACTGCCAAGATCATGTTTCCACCCTCACTCCTTCAGAACGTGCATCAGCCAGTCAGCCATCACGGGAACAGGGCATAATATACCTTTATTATGTCTTTATTAAAAAATATAAGGCATGTAGGTATAATTATCTATTTCATCAAAATCACACCAACACAAAGGCAAAGCTATATAAAAATAACAATTCTGACCTCTTTAAGGAGAATCATATAGTGGTACCTCGGTTCTCGAACTCACTAGAACTCGAATTTCTTGAAAGTCGAACAAACCAGTTTGACCTAGAACTCGATCTGAATATCAGAAGTCGAACCGTGATCGCTGACCTAATATAAATTGTACGCCCCAGGAAATGAGTCATACTACAATGCAATTCTTACTTGAATGCCTTCTTCACAGAATGGACGATTAACCAAATAAAGCAGCGCAACTTTACAGTAACTGACAATAAATAAACCACTAACTTATGTGTACTATTACAGCATTTGTGTCATTTATTTAAACTTTATTTTACCAAGTAAATTAACTGAAAACCAGTTCTCACTGTTTTACGTGATATTCAGGAAAAATTACGCATCGGACAAGATAAACATCCTTCTGTGGCTGGCAGAGTCATTAGGTGTCAGAGCTGGTTTAACATGAACCATCAGCAGGGCATGAATGTCTGCATTTTGTCTTTCTTGCCGTTTTCTTACCTTATTCTATTTGAATCTTGAATCCCATAATATCAGGAGAACAAACATTCTGTACCCATCTGTGGAGCATCCATATATAGATGCTTTCATGTTCAGTTAGTATCGGTCCTACTGCCTATTTGATTTTACTGCCGTAGTACAGCTCCTTCTGGCTCTTCAGTAAATGTACAAATGATTTTGTCTTACTTTGAGCTCAAATTTATTATGATGAGGCACCCAAGATTTAGTAAAATTCAGTTTTTAGTGCAGAACTGTGACGGAGTTTGTAGTTGGAGCAGAACTGTGGTTTCTAAAGGACACAGATGTGAAGGAATGGTCATAGCAAGCTCTGAGTGGGAGCTAGACCTTAAATGACAGTCTGAGTCAGCTGTTGTGCTGTGTACTGGGGGGAGGTCCCATGAATTCCATCGGTCCAGCTCATCTTGTGTTTGTCTGCGTCAGGGATCCGAGTGGAACGCTTCCAACCTTGAGGAACTCCAGGACTCAGGGTAAGTGAGCATCCCCCGCATGTGGTCTCCATGTCAGGCTGGTCACTGAGCTGCTGATCAACTAGTCATTCAAAGCAAAGACCTGCTTTGAGAAACTGGAGGGTCAGCTGACTGCCTTCTGGAAACTTGGTCTTTGGGTAGTTGACTGAGGTTTGATGGAACATCTGCTGTTCTTCTGTATGACGCAATGTGTCTAGCTTTTGGTTATCATCGCTGATGAACCTTATGGCCTTAAATGGACTGGGAAAGGCAAGAGACCTCAATGGACGGTGACAGTTCGGAGCCTCAAACCTGGCCCCCACAGTGCTAACCGGCAGCGTGTGTTTTAGGGTGGGATATATCCTGAACGTCACTCGGGAAATCGACAACTTCTTCCCGGGCACATTCGCCTACTACAACATCCGCGTGTATGATGACGAGACCACGGATCTGCTGGCCCACTGGAACGAGACCTATAACTTCATCGTGAAAGCGAAGTAAGGAGCCGTCTGGCAAGGTCACGGAAGACGTGGATGAGAGCTGGGATGGATGGATGCTGACTTGCCTCCAGCTTAGAGTTCATAAGTTTCTTGGAGTTGCAATGAGGCCAGATTTGGGGTGGTGGGTCTTGCTCACAATCATTTGTCTTGACAGGAAAAACCACTCCAAGTGCCTGGTGCACTGTAAGATGGGCGTGAGCCGCTCCGCCTCCACGGTGATCGCCTACGCCATGAAGGAGTATGGCTGGTCGCTGGAGAAGGCATACAACTTCGTCAAGCAGAAGCGGAGCATCACCCGGCCCAATGCCGGCTTCATGAGGCAGCTGGCTGAGTACGAGGGCATCCTGGATGCCAGGTGGGGGGCATCAGTGATTCAACATGGGACCGTGCATGAATCAGCAAGGGCCACGTGCCTGCAGGTCTTCATTATATTATTAATTATTCAATTAGCACAATGAATAAGATCATTCATAATGCTTTTAAATGATGAGATTCAGTTTAGCCTCACAGCTCATAAATATTTAAGTATATAAATAGATATGATTAATTATTAACTGGGGCAGTCAGAGTAATGGGCTGGCATTAAATCCTGCATGCACTTCTCAGTGGAATGGTATTTGAGAGCCTGATTATTAAGGTTACTTTGATTCTGAGAGAAGCCGATTGGGGTCCTGCTGGGGGTGTTGAAAATGTAGCTTTCATTAAACATTAAGGGGAGGCACGTGGCAGGGATGTCCCCAGTATGACCGTGTTTCATTGTAAAAAAAAATTCTGATTTGTTTATTTATTTTTTTTTACCTTGGGTCAGATATTTATGCTCGGTTTTATCCCAGAATTCCCACTCTATTAGTAAATTTGCTGAGCTGAGCTCCAAGGTCCCCTGGGTAGATGGTATAGCCCAGGGTTTTTCAAATCACAGTCCCCGAGGTCCGAGCACTGCTGGTTTTCCAGCCTTCCTTTACCTGTCAGTCAGGTGTGAAGCCTCTGACCAATCAGAATCAGTAATTATTAAACTAACTACCTGGGAGAACTGAAAACAAGGCCTGGATTTGGAATTGAGGTCCAGATTTGAAGAGCCCTGGTATAACCCTTACAGCCACTCCTCACTTAGTGAGTGTGCTCCGTGCTGATGACCAGGTTGCGAAATGGTCACTAAGTGAAAATCACGGTAGCCACAGTGACCATGACCGTGCTTATGACTCACGACTTCAGCCTTCACACTTTCTTTTACCCTTCATGGAGTTGACATTTTTACCAATTTTTACCAACATTTTGTACATTCTGCTTCAAAGATCCGTCTCACTGTAGCATGTGTCGCAATCAGACATATGTAATTTAATCATAAATGCACACATTGTTTGGAAAATGAATTTTTTATTACCGTCATATTTGCCAATGGCTGCTAACTAAGTTAGCTGCTAAATAAGAAATGGTTGTACTGCTAACTCAGATCCCACTTTCAACTGTCTGTAAAGCAGCTTGAATTATTATAGCACTAATAATTCTTTACAGCGTCTAAAATCTCTTGGAATGACTGCTTATTAACTTGGCGTAGTAGACATTTTTGCTTGTCATGCACCTATATGTTTAATTGCATTATTCAATCTATTTTACTTTTTTGGGGGGGGTGTCCTGTCAGGGAGCCAGTGTGTGATCCCTGTAATTTTGGACTCTCCCACAGCAAACAGCGACACAACAAGCTGTGGCGACCCGACCCAGATTCTGAGCTCACCGAGGGACAGCCAGCCTCGGCGCCAGAGGACGTCACCCCCGAGCCGGGCTTTGTGCCCGGCAATGAGGCCTGGGGTGGGGAGGGTGCTGGAGTCTCCCCCTGCCGTACAGTCGGCCTGGAGGTGGACCCGTCAGACCCGCCCAATTACAACTACTATTTCCGGAGGCTGTCGGACTCGGCGCTGGACAGCGACCCATCCACACCTGTGCGGGCACCGCCCCTGCTGGAGGCAGAGCGCGTCTTCATCGCCATCGAGGACGTGGAGCGTGACGCGCTGCTGGACGACGGTGGTTTCGAGGCTCGCGAGTGCCCCTTGGCCCATTTCGCCCTGCCCGGCGAGGGGACCGCGGCGCAGACGTACGGCCGGCCCGAGCCCCTGGAGGAGCTCCGCCTGCGGCTGGAGTTCAGCACCGTGGAGGAGGAGGACGAGGAGGAAGCGCAGAAGGAGGAGGCGGAGATGGAGGCGCTGGCCCGGCCCAGGGGCGTAGTGGGTGGCTTGCAGGAGGCCATGTCTGAGGAAGAGGCCCGGCTGTGCTCAGCCTCCCTGGTGGGCCAGTTGAACCGCTTCAACGAGAACAGCAACAACAACAACAACAGCCTCGGCGCCAAGTGTAGCTTTGATGTGAGTGGACGGCTGTGCTTGCTAACCCCGCCCTGAGCTCCGCCCCTGGCACCGAATGCGCTCTGCGCCGGTAAACAGCCGCGAGATTTACGGCCCGATGCGTGCCGCCGCGTGCAGGCCACTTTTACAGTGGAGAAATGTCCTCCTGTGAAATGTTACAAATGCGTAACGGTAACGTTAGAGCGCGGCTTTCTCAGCCGCTTTTCCAGTCCGTGACGCTTTATTTTATCGCCTCACCCGGACCGTTTTCCCGTCTTTAGGACGCTATTGGCGACAGGAGCCCTAACAAGCTGAAGCCCTCATGCCAGCCGAGCGACGCCTCCACGCTGCTTCACCCCGGTCTGTATGCGGGCACCCTGGCTGTGGACCGCGCCCACATCCTTAGCCCTGCGTGCGACTCGTTCACCGCCTCCATAGTGTCCCCCCTGCCTATGCTGCCACAGCCTAGTGTCAGCCCCACCCACACGCCGCCGTCGCCCATGGCCTGTGAGGACCCGCGGCTTGAACTAGATTCTCCTCTGGACACAAGTGAGCCGCCGGCGAAGGATGGGTGGGATGGGGTTGTGTCCCCAGGGGGCACCATTACGAGTTTGGCCATGCTGAAGCTCAACCTGGAAGTTGGATTGCCGGCAGCCACTCCAGGGTACCTGACTAGTCACCAGGGGGCGCTGCTGCAGCTGCAGACAACCGGCCTAGTTCGCCGGCATACTGAGCGGTTGGAGAAGCTTGTGGGCCTCTCGGTGGATGGCCTGCACCCCGGGGGGGCGCTCACAGTCCCAGAGCAGATGGACACCTCCTCAGAGGATGCCGTGGAGGACATGGAGGTGGACCTGGGCCTCTCGCCGGAGGCTGACGCACGGGCACCCTCACCCCTGCCGGGGCCTTCGGGGGAGGCCCTTAAGGGCGTGTCGACACCCACGTCCTCGCCGCTGACACGCAGCTCCAGCAGCGACAGCCTGCGCAGTGTCCGCGGCAAGCCGGGCCTGGTGCGGCAGCGCACACAGGAGATTGAGGCGCGCATGCGGCTGGCTGGCCTCACTGTCCCCTCACACCTCAAGCGCTCCAGCTCCCTGGCTAAGCTGGGCGGCCTCACCTTCTCGGAGGAGGACCTCTCCTCTTCCTGCTCCCCCTCCGACACCAGTGCCCCGCTCCTCTCACCAGAGCCTGGAGGCAGCTGGGACTGGCAGCGGGACCAGGCCATCCTGGAAAAGGAGGTGGCGCTCACGAGTCTGCCACTAATGAGCCCAAGGAGCTGACAGAACGAGGGTCACCTGACCTTTGACCCCAGCTGAAATCAGTCAGACAGGCTTGTGTAAGCGATAATAATGGGGACCTCTAGGTCCCAAACTGTAACATATGTACATAGATATACAGTATATATATAAATATATTAAAATATATGTATATTAATATAACGCCACATCATATTTATGAAGAATCCAAATATTATCACTTGATGATTTCTGGGTTCAGATTCTGCTTGCTTGAGCTCAATGAATGTGTGTGCAGGTTAACTGGATGACCCATTCATAAGAGGCAAAAAATTGGGTTAAATAGGGGTCAAATGAGTACAGCGATTCCCCTATGACAAACAGACAGCAGCTTTTGAAATCTGGTTGTGTATCTTGTTGAATGTTCGTCGTTGCTTCACCCAGCGATCTGTATCCCACCCCCCACCCAGCTCGAGGTATGAAACATATTTGTGTGAGCCGCGTAAAACATAGGCAGCCCGACGCACTGGTGTGTTTTGACGTACAATATGACACGCTGAACAGCTGGGATATGCCTTCGGACAGACAGCAAAATACAATCAGAGTAACTTTCTGGAGGCTTTTGTGAGAAATGGGAAAATCTTGAGTGTCTTTTACATTCCCCATCTCTCTCTACCTAAAAGTAGCCTTTAAGTGGTTTGAGCCACTTTGTTTTATTTGCAAAACTATAAACAAAACCCTTACAGTAGAACAACTGGACTGTTATGTGCAGTGGGGAGCAGTTGCACTAAATTAGCTACTGGACTGTTACATCTGTTTCTTGGCCTGTTTCCCTGAATATACATACCACTAAGTTCAAATGTTAAATGATCGACTGGTGAAAGCAATAACTCTCTCCCTGTCCTTGTGACGCTGCGCTCTAGGAGACAGGTGACCTTATAACACCCCCTACTGGCCGGCTATAGTAAGAGTGCACTCTCCCTCACATACCGCTCTCCATAAAAACTAATATTTAAAACTAGTTTTACATATGTGTTAATCATTTCTTTTGATTTCTTTGCCCTAAAAACAAAATGAATCATGTAACTCACGTATGAATTGTTTTATTTTCCTTAAGCTACTTCCTCCACTAAAGTTTCTGAATGTCTGTCTAGTGACGTCAACCAAGGTGCTGACGGATTGTTTCCGAAGTAACAAAGAGCAGTGCTGCTTGATTCTGGGGGGGCTGAACAGCAGGATCCCAGTGTGCACATAGTGAGATCACACAGAGACCTGCTAAAAACATTAGGAATGGTGTGTTTTTGTGCCTACAGTGGAGTGGAATAAAATACCACTAAAAGAGAACAAATAATCAAGGCGAATCTTCAGGTTCCACAACCAAGCCATAGAAGCTCATTTAACCACATGTTGCTTCTTGAGTTACCTCGTTTTGTTTGTTTGGTTGTTTGTTTTAATTGCTTGTGTCAGGAGCTCACAAGCCATTCTGAAGGATGTCTTTGAAGATTATTTGTTCTATATTTTGATAGAAAATGACAGCGGAAAAAATAGAGACGTGGACAATGGATTTTTATACAGGCAAATGTGGGTAAGTTCCCATATTGCTCTGCATCGTGTGATGTGATGGGGGATGGTGGTTGCTTGTATTGCATTGCTTGGTGTCCATGCCCACCTATGTTCCGACACCCCCCTCCAAATTATTTTTTTCTCAGTCTTTGCTTTGAAGTGATAACTTTCTACCTCTTTGATTTACAGCGTCAATGGGCTGTTCATTTGTAGGGTTTATCGTTTTCTTTCTAAAGAGGACTGAAGTTGGCATATACAACAGTCTAACATCAGCTAAGTTGATTGTAATGTGATCATAGAACTCAGGCTTGGGTACATAAGGACCTAAAAAAATCTCCCTTCTCCATTTTTTTGTTTGTTTGTTTGTTTTCTGAGCATTCCTACGGTTTTCATTCGGAGGTGGTTCCTCTGAGGTGTGAAGTTCAAGCCAAGCTGTCGTCTATATTGTGTCTTGGTGCAACTGCTGGAATTCGGCAGATTGTCTAAACTGGCAGGCTGCTTCCTAAGATACACTTGTCTGTTTTTCCCACAAGGCCCGACTGTGAACATGTTGCGATCTGGACCTGGGCTCTTGAATGGAACACTGAAAAATGCTGCCAATGGCCCTCGCGTGATCTTTTAAAATTCTGCAGGCCTGTGGGAATGCAAACGTCGGAGGCAACGTCGATGTCAAACGGACCAGCTAGGCTTCAAAATGCCATACAGCAGCCAGAGATGCTCTCCCCCTGTTTGGATATGAAGTGCACCAACTGTGTTTCATTCCATTCCAAAGGCACGCTAGTAACTGAAGGTGCCAACCGTACTTGGGCTGTACTGGGTTGGGTCCTGTGTCTGGGGTAGCGAGGTTCATGACTCCATCTCCTGCAATAGCTGGTACTCTGCCTACTCTGGCCCATCAGGTCTGATGCCATGGGACAAAATTTGTTCACAAGTTCCATTTTTGAGAAGACAACCTATGTTTCCTTGCAAAAGTTTACATCTGCTGTTAAAGCTCTGTTTGAGGGTTTAACAAGGGTTTCCTGTCCACGTTTGTTAATGTCACAGGTGCTTATAAATCAGTTATGTTGCTACTGTTCCTCTCTGTGTACTGGCACTCTGTGCTTTGGTCATTCCAGGGGGTACGTCAACCGATGTCTTTTGAATTATTTATTTCCTTTTGTATTTATTTTTAAAAATTGGCACATAATATGCAAGTTGTTTATGGAGTTGTGTATGCAAACTTATGCTATTCTACCATTGATTTATTTTATTTTAACATACTATGCAGTCAATCGTGTGTATCAGACACTTGTGAGCTGAGCGTGCATCTGCGTGTAACACAAATGTTACATGGTTACTGTGAATTTATTTGAAAAATAACAATGATGAATCACATCACATGATTAGACTGCATCATGTCTGTGTGGGTAAGGCTGGACTGGCCACATAGAACTGGGCTTACTAAGGATGCACAATTGAGCCAGACTTCTGCAATATGTACACAAATACTTTCTGGTTATGGTTATGTCTATGTGTGTGTGTGTGTATTATATATATATATATAATTTATGTATATAATATTACGTGCAGACATACACATGTCCTTTTATATAGGAAAGATACTGAACAATTCGCATGTAATTATGCATCTTAGGGTATACTGTACAGTCACATCCTTCTTGACCAAATGTTCTGGAAACTTTATCTTATTCTCTGTTGATGACGGGAATTTCGAGGGATCAAAGGCTGGTGACCGGTATTGGGCATTTCAGGTCCAGAGGCTACAAACCCAGAGCAAGATTTTGTTTTTACCAATCAGTTGAGCATATAGAGTCACAGTCACAGAGTTACTCACCTGGTTGGGATGAAGAAACGAGAAACAAAATCTTGGTCTGGATTTGTAGCTTCTAGGCCTGAAATGCCCAACATTGCTGGTGATATTCTAGGATAACTGACTGGCCCACGAACTGGACGTGAAAACTGTTTGACAGCCAGCAGTCTGGTGAGCTACATTTAATGCTAATGTGAGACTTGATCCAATGGTTTTTTTTTTTTGCTTTATTTTTTTAAATAACAGCCCTTGAGTCCAGCTAAACCCTGTAGGTGGTGAAAGCAATATCCAGTAACCAGCTACACACACCATTTAAATAAATTAAATGCTTAATTGATGAATTAACAAGGTCTAATGTGATTTGAAGGAAAATCTGTTGTGAATACTCAGTTCTTTAGTATGGTGTGTCCCTGTGTGGGTATAGTTATGCTGTAGATACACACCTGTATGTCACTTTATCAGTAAAGTGTGATGTGTTCCTCACAGAGCTTCTTCTCTGCTTCTCACACCTACATTTGGGTGTTGCCATGTGCTTCTTACCTGTAATGGGTTTGTCATCCACACAGTTACACCATTGGCAGCACAGTACCAATGGCCCCGACGGGGTGCTCCTCTGTTCGGCTAAATTGTAAGTGTTCCTAGGTGGGTGTATGTGTTTACATGCCAGCTAGCTTAAGTCAGTTTGAACCCACTGCTGTAGGCCACGCCCCTCCCCAAGCCACACCCCAGTAATTTCTCCCCATGCCACTGACACCGCAGCCACAAGCAGCATTCCCACCGCGGCATCACTACGCTACGCATTCCCTTCATATGTAAGTGCCTTAAACTGTGAAGCCACCGCGGCATCGCCCGCGCCATCGGGAACCCCACCCCCCAGTCAGTCGTGTTGTGTGCGAGGAGGCCGGAGCAGGGAAAGTCAGCCGAATAGCATCCTGGCCCAAATCCTTCAATTCTTTGGAGACGGAAGGAAAATGTGTAACTTGTTTACCCCCCTTCCCCCCTCTTCCATTATGCTCACTGTGCCAGATTTTTATTTCCAAAGGTTTCCATTCCAAAGTTCTCTAGGACGGATGTTCTAAAGTGGCATTGATGATGAAAGTCAAAGAAGTGGTTGTAGAGTAGGATGCCCACTTGACCACACCCCGTGACACCGGCACCTTTAGGAAACAGAGAGGGTTTTCTTATCAGTGTCATCAGCACAAACCCATCCGTGACCTTAAGCTTCCTCTCACTGCACGACTCTCTGCTGGTTATCAAAGATCACTTTAAAAAAGATAAGAGCATATTTACGGCGATTCTCCCCCCAGTCTTCTGTCAGGACGTGTCGTTGTTTTAGTTTTTTAAAGAAATATATTTAAGTATGTGCAGTATCTTGTTTTGTACTGTAAAGTTGCTGTAGTTTAAATGCATACTGCACTTTTTTTTTACATTTGTTAAAACAACGTACTGTATGTGTTTATTATGGAAATAAAAGATTTTCATTTTATTGCTCACTTAACTATTCTGATTGGCTATCTTTATTTATGACAGCATGCACACAGCCATTATTTAGCATTAATAAAACGTCATAAAGAACTAAGTTTGTGACCAACAAGCTGCATTTTTGGTTCTGCTGTTGTACCCCTGAATTACGCTACGTAATTCAAATAGCCACCACAGACATGTATCTCTCTGGGTAAAGCCATAACAGAAAATAAGCATCTAAATAAAAAATATTGCTATCTCTCAGGAAAAATATTAACTAAATTCAGATATATTTTCATTACTTAAAGATGTTGTGTTGTATCATTTTACTTTCACAATTAATTTCTGGGTTATCTTGACATGATAGTGTTCAGTATGTTACCCATCTTCAATAATGATTTACCCAGTTAGCAAAGCAATAATTGAGGACCTGTCCCAGGAGACACAAGCCTCAGTGAAGTGTAGATGCTGTATGGCACACTAGCATCAAATATGACTCACTAATCTTTGCAATGTGGGAAGGTTCTAGAATATCCAGAGGGAAAACATGTATACATGTCAACTCCATACACATAAATACACACTCAGCTGGGGTCAGATTCAGATCTACAACCCACGCCAAATGATGTGATGTCAGTACCTGCTTATGCACTGCCTGCTTTACAACTAGTCTGTACATGAGTAATATTCTCCCTTATATTCTCACTCTTGCTTTCTTTAAATATATACTGTATATACTGCCAGGTTGATCTGATTGGCTCACGAAAGATTCCTCCCTACAACTTGCATGCCCACAATTAACCAATAAAAGAGGCCCAGTAACTGAACACGATGTAACTGACAGCAGTGTAATGAAAACCTTCTACAGCCAGTGGTGTAATTGAAATGTTAAGGCTGTTTGCAAATTTAACTTGCTCCACTCACCAAGGCCAATTAAAACAAATGATATAAGCTGTGCTTGTAAAATGGAGTGTAGTAATTCTTCACAACGCACTTCAACATTTCCCACAATGCTTCCTTCTTTCTTAAATTTACACACCGAAAACACTTCGACTTTAGGGACTATAAACAGTGTTTTGGGCTGGTAGAGGAATTAACTGCTTTTCATACCTGTGAATGTTTCCATTATAAATCATCCCTTCTGGAGAAAGGATCATAAAAATAGATCCAAAAGGCGGTAGACACTTCCTTCAAGGTCAAAAGTGCGCTTTGTTCATCTGTGATCCATATCAGGGTGGTGTTATTGTTCTAGTTGACAGAAGTGAGTGGAGCGGAGTGGGGAAACTGTGGGAGTCCGGTTTTCAGACCTCGAGGGAAGGGAAGAAAGGAAAAACAAGGGAAAATTTGGACACCACGGTCATGTTCATCATGTTTTTGGCGGGCAGTGCAACAACAACCCTATAAAGTGTAACTGGATCAGGGTTCTGGGTGGGCTGCCATTTGGATTTACGGCATGCTGGCTGAGCTTTGCCACTAGGCAGTACCTTAGACTGAATCTGGTCAGCTTCCGAATGGGGGGAGGGGGGGGTGAAGCGTGGATTGTGCCCAACAAAATCCGTGGTCACACACAGGAGCTCTGGGCACAGTCGCTGGTCTGCATTGACAGTCCATTAAAAAAATCTGGCCAATCCAAAATGCCTTTTGTTGTATTGTTTAAGTATCCTGTTTTGGTGTTGCTGTGGAGACTGAGAGGCGAGAGAACAGGGTCTCACTCTCTATCCGGTGAGGGCGTGTGTTACCTCTCTCATGGCTTGGCAGGTTCTGATTAGCCATTGTTAAAGCCTTACATCACATTTGGGGAGGGAGCCGGCCCTCCCCAGCCCCTCTCTCTTCCCTTTCCCATAAACCAGTTCTCCCATTCTGCCAAGCAATTGCGTAGATGTGCTTCTGCCAGCTGTTTTTGCTCATGTACTAGCAGCGGCAGGCGTTAGTCTGCCAAGGCTTCTCTCAGTGGGCTTCCAGGCATATTTGCTGGAGGAAACATTCAGCACCTCTAAAGGATATTTAGCCTGAGTTTGGTGTATCTGTGTGTTTTTTAATGATGCATCAGGCTGAGTCTAATTGGTCTGTATCACCTGTGACTAGAATATGATTTTTGGTAGAATCACGTAGGGTTTCCACCCTACCACTCTGCAGCAATGTTCACTCTGCCCGACTTTGATGCTTGTGACACTGTCGGGGACCAGAGGGCAGCTGTGTGAGGCTGTATATATATATAGGGGACAGACTAGTGACTTATCACTGCCTTCTTGACGAGCTTGCATCTCCATTTACAAGCAGAAAAACTGATCTCGTGCTTCCTGAGTATAAACTTCTGTAAGGGTCATCTCCATTAGGCCTTGCACAGTCTCCAGCAGCGCAGGCAGAGTCTCAAGCCTTGGTCTGCTTACGCTAAAAGGTGAAAGAAATCACAATAGGCCCAAAGCCCCTCAGCGAGGTTCCTGGTGTGCCAACACTGCCCCCTACTGTGTGAAGCTACCACACCGCATCAGGTTATGATTAAGGCCACTTCTGATACGAGTATGTCAAATCAACCAGAGCCTGCCTATGGTGACACTTTAACCCCCTTTACCCAAGACAAAGGGCTGAAATTCTATCTAACAGCACAAAAGTAAACCATGATGTATAAATAGCATCATAAATGGAATTATTAATGACTGATTGTATACCTTGCATTTGTGACTCCCATATAAAGATTTGTTGCCACTGGGTCCATGGTCTCATTGTGTGTTTACACTGCATAAATGGGAGTTGCCCAAATTCTGGGGGTTTTAGGGAAAGACGTGTTATAATCAACACGTTACCTGCACCTGAAACAGCACAGAGGATGGTTTAATATCCCAATAAGTGAGCTCTGGGCAAGCAAAGAAGCTGCACCCTGCAGCTAACAAGGACCTGGAGGTGGTGTTTCTAGCTGTAAGCCCATATGAAAGCATGATTGCCACCACAGCCCAGTAATGCTGGCATGGCGTATTAGGCTGCTGGTTTATTTCCAGGGAAACCAACTACAATGACCTACAGAAAAGCTCTTTTCATGGATGCCTTCTCTAAACAGTTTGTTGTTTCTCCAAGTTTCGTCACATGTATTGGGGGATCACAGTGAAACTCTTGTGCTACAGAAGGGGGGGGGCACTGTGATTGCAAGGGGGTTAGGATAAACAGCTGTGCTATACTGGACAGTACAAGAATAAAAAGATGTTTTAGTAAATAATTAGTGTAATATGGGCGATGATGTGCAGATCAACACAATGTGCTGAAAGTACACTGATAGAGCTGCGCATTGCACTGGTTGTGGGATGGACAGGAACAAGTCACCGGTTGTTTAGCAACCTAATGGTTTCTGGGTGGTGCAGGTAGAGATAGCCAGTAGCACTTCGCAGAGGGCAGGATTGAGCAGAGGGTATGAACTGGGCCTCTGGTGTCCCTAACGATGCTGCCCTCGTCTGGCAGCAGACAGAGGTGGATGGATTGAAGCTGTGGAAGATCTGTGCCAATGATCTTTGAAGCTGCCTGGATAGTCCTTTGCAGTAAGCTGAAGTCCTGAGCAGTTAGGTTGCCCAGTCACATTGTGATGGATTCAGTCGGGATACTCTCACTGGTGTAGCGGCAGAAGTTCACCAGGGTTTTGGTTTCCAACCCAAAGCTCTTTAGCCTTCTTAGGAAGATCAGCCTCTTTAAAACATTCCAGTAGCACAGGATATCCGGCTAATAGCTACCAAGCTGGCATCTGTTTCACAAGACATACAGTAGTGAAAAGTTAAAAACATAGTGTAAATAACTGTAATACGTGTTCCTTATGTGTCCCCCCCCACTTTTATGCACTTCCTAATTAAAACGCTCCCTAGGCGATTGCCTACAGTATGTTGCCTATAGGGTAGACTGGCTCTGCTACCCTAGAACATGAAGCTGCAGACTGTCTCAGCAGGAAAGCCATCATTGAAGTCAAAGATTATCTTGTAAATGTTAAAGGAGAGGTTATTTTCATGCACCAAACACCATACTGTATAAGGTGAGATACAAATGACCATTTTGATAACATGCATAAAGAACCATAAAATAAGATAGAACACTGGAAGACTGGAACAGAACTGAGAAATAATCTCATCTCACTAGTCACAAACTTTGCAAACCTTAATTGTCAATTGTCTGAAACAATTACACTTTTAAATGGTCACCTATTTAAACGATTTTACCAGCAAGGCAGGTATAAACATTTACAATAGCATGTCCATCACTGCAGGTTAACAAATTTACTTTCTTACGATTTTCTCGAAGTTTATTCTGTGGATTTATCTACATAGTTTGCTCCTCTCGCAAAGGGGGACGCCATTAAATCAAATAGCACTGACCGAGTTTATTTATGCACCAAACTTTAATTAGCAATAATTCAATTACGAAATATCTCTTCATTGTTAAAATATCGTTGTGGTGGTGTAATTTAAATGTGGTATATATATATGTATCGTCGAGGAGGAATATCTGAGCGAACATGACTTCCAGCACAAAGTATTTAAACGGGTGCACAGGAATTACGAGGGGACGTTTTAATTGATAAACGTATGACGCAGAGAGAAACTTATTGCATTAAGCAAATGAGCGTCTGACATCACTCGTAATGCCTATTGCAGAGGCAGATGAGACTCACATCGCCGGGGCAGTAAGAGAAGGACGCGTAACTTCGCAAAGACAAAGGGGACTCTATAATTATTCCTGGAAGTGCACGGAGCAGCCTGCAGCATCCAACCTAACCGGTGAGTCCCTTTACCTGCTAACCATCTGCACCACGACCACGCCTCCTCAGGTTTGATCCCACGGAGGCTCCATGTAGATCTCGGAAAGAAGTGATCGGGAATCGGAATTAAGCCCACAGACATTCGGACCATTCTCCTATCCTCCTACTGTCCCATGTTTCACTTCTTGCGATAAAGAGGAGCACAAGGACGTCAAGTGATTCGCCTTAAGTGAGACGGTCACAGAGCCATGCACAATGAGGCCCTTGTGGCTTCGTGGGTTGCGGGGCCCTGTAACAGCCCCTGGCTGTTAGTATTGCACTAATACAGAGTTATGCATTTGGCGATTTAAACTTGATTTTTCTATTTCTGTTTCTATTTAAATTTTTGCATGTACAACATCCAGCTATTTTGCGGAAATGTGACTTTTAAAACACAGGTGAAAACTGAGTGTGAGTGCTTTTAGTTCTTCGGATGGGACTCAAAAACGGTTAGAAGACCGATGTGAGGTTATCTCGTTTGTTTTCATTTCACTGGCTTTAGCATCTTCCATTCCTCTACAGGCTAATTTGTTCAGGTTATCACCACAAATAAATATTAGTTATTCACGATGTCAGAAGAAAATGTCTGTAGGCCTGTCCATTTCGGTATTACACAAACAGTGCAATATTTAATTTCCAAATTTGTACTTCAGCTACATTGCTCACCTTTGCTAGAATAGTGCCTTATTCATATTCTGTACCTCTTTACTTAACTTGCAGCTAAATGATAGCAGTGCAGATTTTAACATTTGTATCATTGATATTTTAAATTTAAAACCTGTTACATGTTTATATAAAGGTACACATAATATTTTTACTCCTATGTAACTATTTGTTGCAGTTGCAGATTGAGTTTAGCCTGAGCAGCATAAAGCGCTACAGACATGTTGTGCTAACTCTAATGAGCCCATCTGGATAATGTGGTGGTAATAATCCCCAGCGATAAAAAAGCGAGATTTGATGAAAAACAGGCCGAACTACCCCCCTTTTTGTGGTGCTATGATTTTTCTCCCTTCTGCCACTAGTCTTAGAGAACCGCCCAGCTGACTGTGCCAGGCAGGACACACAGGACGCGGCTGGGAGAGCCTGCTTGAATGGTACAATTACGGGAAGCCCGCTCCGATCGCACATATGTTAGAACTAACTTCCCGTCCTGCAGATAGGGTGGATAGCTAAAGCTTTGGGGATTGGCCATCCTGCAGACACAGCTGTTTACGAATGATTGCCATGAGGGGCACAGCAGGGGCATGGACACCTTGGCAGATTCCTGGATGGGTGAGGTTGTACAAGGGAGGTGGTGGATGAGTGAGGGGCCCAAGGTGACATTTTGTCAGGGCGCCCAGAATTTCTAATTGCCACACACAGATGAGATGCGGAGTCGTGTCAGGTCCCCTTACTGCTGAATGATGCTGAGAGTAATACAAACGATAACGAAGATGACAAGGGACAGAGAATTCACATTAAATAATTTTTCACAATTCACAAAAGTAACTAAAACGTGCTGTATTGCATTATAAATAATAATAATAAAGAAACTCTATGCAAAACCCAGCGATTTTGCAATGCAAATATATCCTTGAGGCATGCACATTTTACTAGTATAATTTGAGAAACAAATGATCCTCCATTGGTCAGATGAGCCTGGGCGGCACACATGGTCCAGCTCATCCAATGAGCGTCCACAGCAGTGAAGAGAACTTCTGTGGAAAGTGTTTCTCTGTTGACCTTGTGTGAGTCAGAGTTTCTGAGCAGTCAGTGAGTTAGGAGTAAAGCTCATATTGTGCTAGATCACAAATATCAATGTTTCTCAATGCTTGGCTCTTAACTTGAGCAGCAAGTGGCATAGTGTGTAAGGACACTGACACATTACCTGTTTGCTCATATCCCACGCAGGGTTCCACTGTCGTTCTCTTAAGTAAGATATTTGATACAATAAAATATAATGAAAGAATTAAATTGCTTTGAATAAGAGCAGGCACTCTGCAGCATTAACTTACTTATTCTAAAGGAGGATTGTTATTAGGTTCTCAGTCTGTATTTAGTATTTTTACACTGTTTGTCCATGCAGATATGAACAAAAAGAACCATTCCAGAGGCAGGAAGGGAGAGGGTGTGGGATAACACTCTGAGGCACTGGGTCCTGTCTCCGATAAGCAGGCTGGGGCCAGCATGCCAAACCCATGGCATCATGGGGAGTCAGCCGCTTCAGCATGAGGGCTGACGCAATGTCTCTCTCTCTCTCTCTCTGCAGGCAAGAATGGGACAAGGGCTGGACAGAGCTACGGAGGCTGAGCACATGGATGGGAGTACAGAGAAACTAGGTAGAGGTCTTGGAAGTCCAGGGCAGGGGGGTGACAGCGGGGACCCGGAGCTGGGGGCTGGCGGAGCCGGGGAGGAGCTGCGGAAAGCTGACTTGGATGAGGGCCCAGGCATAGAGCCAGCGGCACCTGCTCTGGAGAACGATGTGAACAGCCGCCCAGACGAGGGGGGAGAGGGTGGAGTGGGAGGAGACGACGGCGGTTCGGCTGCTATGCCACCTCCACTGCAGCCAGATGCCGGGAAGAGCCCAGGGAAGAGAGCACAGAGCAGCAAGTCCTCTACAGCTGATCCTCAGTCATCCAAGACCATGAGCCAGGAAGAAGCTGCTTTAGGCAATGGTGAGGACAGGGTGCAGAGCGAGACAGACCAACAAGTTGGAAGCAGGGGTTGCTTTGAACTGTATGTCGAGGAAGAGGCCCTTCATTCTAACTCCGAGGTCATCTCTGACGGCACTTCCGTTCCACTTGTGAACCCTTCTGATGTTGTGAGTGAATTGCTGGTGGAGCAAACCATGAGAGATTTTGCGCCCCTTGAGAAAGAACAAGGTAAGAAGACTGCTGACTCTAAGATGGTAGAAATGAGATATGTTGGTAAATTAACAACAAGTGAAGACATCAAGATCGATTCCTCTCACATGGAGGGAGACCAGGAAGTGTCTTTTTGTGAGCCCCTGGAAATTATTGAGGAGGTGTCTCCAAGTTCTGACAATTTGCTGGAAAATGTGGATATTTTTATGGCACATTTAAGAGAGGGAGAAGATTCCAAAGGGACAAAAGAACCGTACACTGTAGAAATCCAGTCAACCACAGCAAAGATTGGACCCCAAAAACACCAAGAAACCCCTAATGATTTGGGGCCTGTCCACCTGGAAAGCCGAGATATTGAGTGCTTTATTCCTGTAAATGAATTTTCCTCAATGACTAACCCACAAGATCTTCCAAAACAGGATGTAGAGCATGCCCAGGTTGGGGTGAATACAAGGAAGGATCATACTTATAAATTTCTCAGAGAAAATCCTGATAACTTATCTGACCAGACCTATTCCAGTCCTGGGGATCATATTGCTGAAGTGATGTCCATGTGTGAAGTTTTGCACATTGGAGGTTCATCAGAGAAGAATCGTGGAACAGAAAATACCACACATCAAATGGATCCTTTTGAAGGGATAGGGGCGACAGTAGGTGACATTTCTGAGCACTGTCAACTTCGTAAGGATGAAGAAACCAAAAATGAAGATCCTGTTCCTATATGGAGTGGGCCAAACCAGTCTGAATGGACGACTCCTGAAGTTAGGACTTCTGCGGTGTTTGGCAACTGCCCATTGGATTTTATCTTGAGCTGTGAAACGCCCAACATCCCAAGTAAAAATGACGACGACCTGGCTGAGCTCACTACAACTTTTCATTCTGATCAATATGCCCCCAGTAATACTGTGGGTTCTGCTTCAATCAAAACGGATCCAATCGTTGACCCTAAGAAACAGGAAGAGGAAGTCACACATACAAAACTTTCAACAACTCCTTCAGATGAGTCTCAGAAAAAAGAAGAAACTGATCTTTTGGCATTGCAACATGGACATACTTTTGACACTTCAGCAAACCACCAAAATGCAGAAGAAAGAGGAAAGCAAGATGCAGGACATTGGCTGCAGGAAAGGATACCTACAGGTGAGACACAAATGTCTAAACTTGACAAAGAGGAAGCAAGAGGAAGTACTTTCGGCTGGAACAGGTCTGATTTCAGTGGCAGTGGTATTGTAGAAACACAAGTGGCTTCCTCGAAGGATACTCCTGAGTTACTCAGAGCCCTTCCGGCATGCAGTCTAGCTTCATCCGGCCAAGTCACTCTATCATACACTCAAAGGTCCCCTGAGACAGAATTGCAAAAGTCAGAACTGCCAAACTCAGAAGTGCTGTCAACATACCCGGAGGGATTTGCGTATCTGTCCAGTCCGAATCTCTCAACTTTTGGGAATATCACAAATAATGAACCAGCTGCGATTATATCCACATCTGTAGAAGAGTTATCCAGATCTGTCCCAACTGATCCTCGAAAAGAAAATGAAATGTCATCAGCATTATTTATAGATGGAACCCAAAGACTTGCTGCTGTTGATGCTTCCTCCCTGCTTACAGATGAATTGTCTCCTAAAAAAGAAAGGCTGTCATCCAACATATACGTCCCCGAAACTCCATGTACAGAACCCTTAGATGACAGAGTTGTGGAAACAACAGATTCTGCTGAAAAACAAGCCTGTGCTGAAACAAAATCCTCATCTGACCTCGTAAAATGCCTTTCAAGGGACAGTGTGCAGTTTGACAGCAAACAGGATAAAAGCCTTTGTCTGCAGGATGCAAAAACTGACAAAAGTGCCCTGCAGCCTGATTGGTCTCTCTCTGAAAAAGATTCCCAAGCCTTGCTCCAAAATGTTCCCAAGTCTAAGACTGTTTTTGACCTTGTAGAGGATACAACCCATGTGCAGGAAAAGACAAAGCACCAAGATGGGACGAGACCTTTAAAGGCTGAGGGGAACATGGAGCAGGGGGTGTCCTTGAAAGTGGCACAAATGCTGAAGGCCTTTGATGCTCCAAAAAAGTTACCTGAAAAGGCACTTGAGAAGAAACCCACATCAAGGAAGGGTAAGTGAAATATTCTAATAACAGAACTATGTGAAATGTCCTAACAATATGATGTAATATCAGTTGTGACCACCTTTACTTCTCAGTAAGATTATGAACAAAAAAGACTCGTTAAGATGTAATATTAGCTAACAAAAAAAGAAAATAAACAGGTAAAGTATGGGATATACAGTTTTCAGTATGAGACGTGAAGATATTTTAGCTGGGTAACTATAACACAGACACACATGCAAATGATTTTCAAATTTTAAATCATGTACTGACAACATATGGGTGTATTTTGTATGTATTTTGAATGTGTTTGCCTATGAGTGCAGTATTTACAGATTCAGTCCTCAACTATTGTATGTCTGCTGGAGACAACAATCAAAAGGATTTAAATAGACCTCACTTTGTTTGATAGCAAAAGAAAAATAATGCAATGATTTATTGCTCTGATTTTGTGATAACACCTCATTTTACCCTGTAGAAGCAACCCAGTTCTTCGTTTGTTTTAACAATATTTAGCTCTGTTTCAAATTTACTAGACTATATCATGTGAAAGTGTCTCGGGGTCTAAACTGGATCCGTTTTCAGCATTACGCTGACTCCTTGCATTGATAGATAGGCAGTATCAACCACTAATTTGGAATATTCTTATATTACAATATACAAGATGTTTTGTGTCAAAGTCTGTCATCTATCTATCTAATTTATCTAGTCACTGTGAAGTCTGCAACAATTCCGGAAAACCTCCATCCGGGGATATAGCGCCACCCAGTGTCAAACACTACACCGGCTGACAAACCACTCTTGAAACTACTTTGACTGCTACATCCTATCGTGCAAAATCAAAATGAATCAAAACCCACATTTAAATAATGTTTATTCTATTTTTCATGGCATGTATTTTTCAAATTGGTGGTGATCAACATGTCTTGCTTCGCATAATTTCTGAAGAATACTGCGGCATGATTGTGTAAAAATCGCCTTAACAAATGCAGTTTACATTTTAAGACGGGAAGTGTAACTCCCTGACGATCCTCAATTGAACAATAATAATTATACAACTCGTGTAAATGTTACTGCAATTATATACTCTTTGTAGTGACAACCACCATATGTTCATCACACCGTTAAAAACGACCAGTTTTATACCAGGTAGAAGCGGTTTATAGGGCGTATACTTCGTATATTCGGGACACAAAATCCAGATGTCCACTAAGCTCCCACAAAGACCGGAGGAAAGAGACAGTTTGGTGTTTTCTTGACGGGCACCTCACCCGTCTCTGCCCCGCCTATCGGTAATCGGGGGCGGGATCCAGGGTGCCGAGTCGATACGCGGATTGGCTGCCCGATGCGCTTCTGGCTGCGCTGTGCAGGTTGTAGCGCCGGAGCTTTAAACGAGGCTGGGGCGCCAGGGGAGCGGGGGGCGTGGCTTCCGGGACTCCGGAGCCTGGATCTGGAGTGCGAGCACAGGCGAGTCCCAGCGGCCAAGGCAGAGAGGCGGAGGCGGACGGGAGGAAGCCTGCGGCAGGACGAGCCTATCGTTTTAAAACGCGCTTGGATCTTAACATATTTTTCACTATATTTTAAACAGCAGGTAAGGGTTTCTTAGATCTCAGCTTGACAGAGGTATGCTTGTTCTGCATGCTTGGAGATGCTAGGTGGACATTAAGTTAGGTGTATCATTGGTGAAGCTGCTAGCCCTGACGAAAGCGAAGAGCTCAGTTTTTTGAGAAATGAAGAAGAACGATACAGTTCTCAGATAAATACTTAGCATAAGACCTACGAACTGATTACCGATTATACTTTTGCCGGTATCGGCTTGAACACGAGCAGAATCCGGCTCGTTTCTGGGTCGTTTAAACAGGAAGCTGATTGCAATGTGACAGACTGGAGTGTGCATGAGTTTATTCTCCGGTTAGACACTGCCTATAGGTCGGTATTTACCTTGACTCGGCTTACCTAGGCAAACTACCCCAGGCGGCATCAGGTATGCTGGGTGTGATTCTTTGATTTGAATGGCTTTCAAGTAGATGGGATTTTTTATTCTCTATGCAGAGCTCTGCGATGCAACTAAATTAGCCAGCAAATGCAGCGTGTGCCTTGAAAAAAATCCCTCCGTTTTAAAAGGATTTGCAGCAATACAGGCAATATTTTTTTAAAGAAAGCTAACCTTTCGATCCAGAAGCTCTCGGTCTATTAGTTATTGCCATGCATTTTGTGTGCATTTGAGAGGGAATGTGAAATTAAGTAGGCTTGGTTATATGGTTTGAGGTCAGTATCCAGCTACGTATCTTTAACGCAGAAAACCGAAAATGCCACTAACTCATGTTGTGCAATTATTTCCTATGGGAGCAATATAATTAATATGTGTAACAAATTGAATGGTGATGAATGAAACGTAATACATATGGGAGGGAACGCTTATGTAACACTGCTTCTACTGTTTGGCTTGATTTTGGTATAATTAAGTGAAATAATTGGGTCTGGATGAACGAGTTAACTAGCGGGTGGGAAGAGACATTTCGTCAAAGTGATCCGTCTAAATCAACGCGATTTATAGTATTTTGTAGGGATATGAACGACTCAGCTGGTTCAGGACATAATATTATAATCGATTTGGCTTCCGACTGTTGTACAGTAGATTGAGGCAGGTCCTGTCACGAATGAAACCAGAAATGTCCAGTTCCCTGACAAGATTGAATGCTTTTCTTAAAATGCCATTCCTAGCTATGCACTAAGGAAAAGCATAAACGATTTGCTGTAAAATAAGCTGAAAAATAGGTGCAGATCCTACTTAAATTTACATATGTTCTCTAACAGCCTCAAGTTACATTCAAGCAAAATTCTATTTTCTTTGCAGATTAACCTTTTTATCTAGTCTAGCTGATTTAGCTGTTTCCCTGTGATTTGGATCTTGGAGATAAAAATGGCATTTTTCATTTTTATGTAATTTGTGGTTTGTTAATTACTTAGGAACATGTGGATAAAAATTCATAAATTAGCCTTGGAACTTATTGCGGTGGCACAGTGCTGCTGTTAGGATGTTGGGTCTGCCATGTATTAACCCACACAGAGTACTTAATTCTTGAGGGTATTTCCCTGCCTCTTTCGTTTCGACTTAATGACAAGTGATGGGTATCTCAATGTTGGGCTATGGTTGTGTTGTTTGTTGTGGTGTTTGTGGGTGTTTTTTCGGCACAGTCATGTTAACGTGGTTTCTTTTGGCTCGTACATTCCGTAGTGGTATTTCTGGCACATGTTTGAATCACAGTGTTTATCAATTAAAATGCTGCTTTGATTGTATCTGATGCTTATGCAAAGCAATCAATTTCCAAAAGTCAGCATAAATTGTTTGATTATTGCCCATTAATATAATTACACAATCTATTGGTGAACCTGACAGGACATATCTCTTCTGAGAGAGCTTGCATAAAGGAGAGGATGGTGGGGTCATCCATTTATCCGTACATCCATCCATCCATCCAGTATGGGGTTGCAAATGGCAGATATACTGCCTGACCAGGATGCCAGTTTATTGCAGGCCTTCTAAACAACCACACCCTTGGATTATGCAGAGGAATCTCACACAAGTATTCCTATTGAAATAAAGTAGTGAAGATATGGTTCCCATTTCTTCTCATATTAAAAAAAATGACATAGTCCTACAAGAAAGCTGGCGCTAGACGAGGAGATATGTAGCATTTATGGTTGACTCTTCTATTCACTATTCTGTGAAACATCTCCTCCTTCATTGCAAACAACATTGTGGAATGCATCAAAAAACCTGGAGTGTTGTTAGTCTGAGTGGGAAGACAAAGGTATCACTTGGGATGGGAAAAGTCTACACAAAGTGCAATCAGGCTGATCATAAGGTCTTTTGGCACTTTTCCATCACACCGGGTACCGTACTTTTGGTACTTCGAGAAAGTACCTCAAGTATGGTACTTCAAGGTGTTGGTTTTCCACTGCTATAAAAACTGGCATTGGCGCCAAATGACATCTCTGCTTGAGGCAGGGGATTTTGTACTGAATTTGAAAAATGGGATGTAGTATTATATAGGGCTGGGCGATGTGTGATATTAATACCAACATTACATTATTATGCACATGCAATTCTCACATCGCTATTAAGCTAGATTAAGATCAGGCTTTTTTTTTACTTGCAGTTATGTATACGGACAATATAGCGCAGGAAGTTTTAAGTTTCGCTAAAACATTTTTATTCTGTCATAGAAAGAAAACCTTAGTTAACTTTGTGATTTGAATTATTTGTTCCTTTTCAAAATTATCTAGTGTATGTTTAAAAATCAGTTTAAAGGTTACCTCTGCTGCTTTTGCATGAGGGCTGCATGTGTCCTCGGAGACCATCATAATCATTTTCATCCTTGCTGGTTAAAACACTCCTAGACAGGTTTCGGAGAAATGTATGAAGTACCTTCTTGCTTTATAAATACCCCAATATTTATTACAACAAAATCACACTGCTATATTTCCACATCACCAGGATGGGACGGCACACTATATGCTATATATGTGATATGTGTGCTGTCCTATAATATTAAACAAAATACTTTTAAAATTTTTGCCATGCAATTCTAATCTTTTTTTTGTATCTATTCTTCCGACCAGACGGCAATTAATAATTTATTCACTTATTGTTGTTTTCTGACTTCGTAACTGTTTTCATGCCGGTGTTTGTATTGTGTTTCAGCGTCGCACTATTTCCATAACCAATCCACCAAGAAAGCATTTCCAGTCCTAATCCAATGTACCTAAGTACCACAGAAGTACCCCAGCTGGTTTGGCATTTTTAGTACTGGAACTTTTGCTACTGGTACTCGACCAGAAGACAATGGAAAAGGGAAAGTACAAAAGTACCGTACCAGAAGTATGGTAGTTGGTGTGGTGGAAAAGCACCCTTTCAAGCAGGTTCTAAAAAGGTTTGTGCCTTCGAGGTGAATTCTTGGTGTGTTTTATTTGTTGTGCTTTGACATATTAATGGTAGTCCTGTT